AAATTTTAATTTAAAATTTAATTAAATAATGAATATTTAATCTAAAGGAATAAATTAAAATTTTTGCTACTTTTATCAAACATTTTCAAGAATTACATGATAGAAAAATGTAATTCTTGAAAATGCTTGATAAAAGTAGTAAAATGATAGAAAAATTTTAATAAACATTTTATTTTGCAATAAATATATTAAAAGTGATGTCTTATTGTTTATATTCTTTATTTATTAATCAGTATATCAATGTAATATCAAATATATATTTATTCATTATATAAAACAGAAATTTATAAATTATAATAAGTGAACAGAAAATTAGAGTTTGAATTTGAAAACAATACATTATATATTATATAATAATGAATATCCAAACCAATAGATTGTGCTGAATATGAATTCTGTGAAAAGATATACTGAAAGAGTATTACTGTTGCATAAATCACTTCCCGGTTTTAATATAGCTCTCAATGCATTCATTGAACTGCAAAAATATAACGTAATACTGTATGCATACACTTATACTGTATATTTGTACTCTAATATATAGTATACAGTATAGTTATTTATTTTTAATTAATTATTTATACCATGCTTATATAAAAAAGTGCTAATAGTAATTATTAATTATATAATTAATTAGTAATTGATTTTTATATATTCACTTATAAATTGTAATATACATGCACTTATTACTAGGGTATTGTTCAATTTTTGGGCCATAAAGAGCATATGAAGTGAATTGAAAGTTATTTTTAACAAATAAATGTATAAAATAGTTATTTTGATGTGATATTAGATGTTATGCTTAAAGTGAATGTCATTAATAGATGAAATTATGTCAAAACAATGATAAATAAGTATTAGTTTTGAACTTAAGATTCTTATTGAAAAGATATAAGCGATAAAAATAGACTAAATTATTGCTTATTTGCGATTTTTTCATTGATCTATTCATCGGTTGTTTGTGTCTAAAAAATAGATATTGAATTGATATCAGAATTGATTACAAATTTAGTTCATTGTTTTGAAAGCTCTTAGATATTACCACAAACACCGCAAAACACTTGTATTATGAACTCATTTAATACTTTTAATTTATTAAACAATTTATTTATCAGTTTTCAATGATGTGAATGTCATCCATAAGAATGATATGAATAACAGAAAATGTTTTATAAAAAATGTGTTTACAAATGCATTACAAATGTATTAAGTAATACACTATACAAATGATTTATAGCACATGAAAACCAACACAATATGAGACCGTATTTTTAAATTTATATATTTATCTGAAAACAATTTTTGTTGATTGAAATTCCAATAGATATTAATTTGATTTTTTATTTGATATATTAATTCAAGTGTTATAGAATATCAACATGGTCATATAAATTAATCAGCATCGGCCTTCATAATGTTTTGTAGATCAAAGAAATTAATATTAAAAATATTATAAAGTTTTATTAAAAGATATAAATTCACACAAACATTAGGCAAAAGTACAAACAGTAGTCTAATTGTGGTTAATTATAATTATAGTTTACATGTATTCTATAATATTCACAGTAAAACTGATGTGAATATTTGTACCAGGAAATTGACAAATTGTTACATGGTAACTTCCCGTTTTATCATTATCATTAACTCTATAATAAATAAAACCGGAGTAACCATACGATAGGCATTTCATCTCACAATTGTCTCTAATGAATGTTTGATTAGTATTCAGTGAATGCAATTCACTATCATTTTACAATTTTTACAACATGTAAATAAAATTATCTTTTTAATAATTAAAGCATTTGTTAAAACAAGGTGCTTGTTCACTTATAATAAAATGTAACAAAATGTTGTTGAATTAAAATATTAATTATAGAAACTTCTATATCATTCAGTACTACAGATATCAGTATTTTCACTTTTATTTTATAGCATGTTTAATCATAATTTCTATAAGTTTGAGCTGGATAAATTATGAGAAGACTACATTAAAATTTAGATGCCATTTAAGTCTATGGTGATAATTTTTCACATTATAATATGATTAAAAATAATTTTCCCACTGAATTGTGGTAAGACTTCCTAATTGTATGCAAACTGTGTTTTCACATTTAGGAGTCATTTAACAATGAAAGAAAACATTTAATTTGTATTTAATGTAAATATATTTTACAATCACTTTTGAAATGAATTCTGTTAATAGGTTTAAACGGGAATTTTTGCATTTCTTAACTCGTGTGAAATGATATGTAGATCTGAGAAGCAGTGTCTCTACAGTATGTCTGTGTGTTTGTGGTAATACCGGACAACTTTGTGCCATCACTACATGTGAATGCTTTATGAATGAGTGAAACTGAATTCATAATAATATTGTCTACCGGTTATTGTGTCGGTGTATCGGAAGTGAGAAACACTTGAATCAGGAATCAGATGGTCTATTATTATATGCCCTTTGCGTACATTTGATTGTTTATAAGTTATAACCCAATACTTAATACTCGTCTAATGGCCACAAAAATTCAAAGTGAATGCACTTTTCAGTAGTTATGATTGACTCGTAAAAGAAGTTAATGTTTTCGTATTTAAAAGGAAAAAATACTGGAAATTGAGTTTAACTCTGAAAAGCATTCAATGAATTGCAAAAAATACAAATTATATTAAAAAAGGAAATACTGTTTAGATTGAGAATGAGAGCAATTGTAAGTCAAAAATCATTGCTATACTGTATATAATTGTAAAAATAGATTTTAATAATCATTTGTTTATTCAAAAAATTGAAAGTTTTATAGAAAATTAAAGATCAAAAACGTTAAGTGTTTGCGAAATAATAATTATTATGATAGCAATGATGTAATCGTCAAATAAACAGGATTTGTATTATTTAGCAAAACGTGTCAAATATACAAATTTGTAGGAAGAATAAGTGAAATGATTATAATTTCTATCAACAAATGTCTGGCAATTGATTAATAAATAAAACGGCAAAAACTTTTATGGATTTAAGTTAGAAAATAACGCATTTTATGTATCGATTCGAGTAAAACAATTGCCCGAAAAAACAGAAAACATAGCAAAATAAATGTTATATAAATGAATTGTGCGAACAATAGAGTAGACATGAAGTGAATTTAGGACACGAGAGTGAAAATAGCATTGAATTCAAACGTTAACTCAAACCAACAGTTTGTGTTTTTTACATACAAACTCCGAAACTGGGTTTCACTTCAAGTTTATTAAACTCTCTCCCATTCAAAGGTCTTTGTACTCAAACACTACCTGAGAGTCTAAATAGCTTTTCGTTATAATCAACTAAATATTTATAAAACACTGTTTGTACTTTTCTATAACATATAAAACTTTATGAAACTCTATTCAACATTTTCAATGCAATCATATTATCATATTTACTATAGAAAAAAATTAAACGCTAATGATTGCCAACTTTTAATTATTATTATTATTTAAATTATTAAATAACAACAATTGTTTCCTCAATATATCCGCTAAAATACGAGACGACATGAAGAACTCATTTCTATCATATTTTATTTATAAAATCATTAGTGAATTTAAATATAGAGTATATTAACGATGTTTACAAGAATTCTAATATACTGTTTGTTTTTCTCAAAATAATGTGTTTATATTTTTATATAATATGGTATAAAAAGATATGAAATGGAGTTTGGAATTTGAATTGATTTATCTTAAATTGTGTAATGCAAATGATATAATAAACTAGGTCTATTATGACTTAATGCTTATCTCATTGAATGTTATTATCATTGTTAAAGCGATGGATATATTTATATAGATATATCATCCATAAGTAAAATAATTAGGACACGGAATGCACTTAAAATTACTTTATATTTGGATATAAAATTGTGGATAAGATATAAGATATGAATACATAATAAATGTTTGATTTCTTCGTTGAGGTCAAGAGTGATACCAATGAAAGTTATTGAAGAGTTTCAAACACTTTGCAAAACTATATTCATATCTACAAATCTGTAAATCAATTGGCCTTAAATTTAATTATATAATCACTTCATTATTGACTCTAATTTCCTGTATTTCATCGCATCGATGAATGCAATCAAAAATAACCATAAATTGGATAACAATTGTTTGAGAAACTCTTACTTCGTATGAATTATTTTCAATTTAATATAGGAATTTAAAAATTGTTTGAAGTGTGTATCGACTGAACAATTTTAGATTTTTGTTTTTGTTAGTAATTATATTACTATTTAATGTCATATACTGTTGTGTATCGTTTGATGAACTGGGGTTTGACTTACAAGTTATCTAACTTTCAATTTCATACAAACTTACGTTTGAGTGCCAATAGTATGAACTTAATGCTAGCGACAAACTAAACCCAAAGTTAACTCATTCAGTAAATTTCTAACTCCTGTCCAAACCATCCATTCCTCTCAACACAATTCACTTTTCATTTCAATTCAATTTAAATATTAAGATTTGTCTGCAATTTAAACACAAATATTTACTCAATTGATTACAGAATCGCAAACAACAAATTCATTGGTTTATTGTTTTGTAATATTTGTGTACAATAAAAGGGTTTGTCTGTATTTTACGAATTAGTTTGTAATGAAGTGAATAACTGTATTAATAGTTATAAATAAAACTCTTGTCGCTTCGCCTCAATATTTAGTGGTTTTTATATAATGTTTTAGTAGTAAAAGGCATACAAATAGTACAACATATTCTCTCTCTCTCTCTCTCCCCTCTCCCTCTCTCCCTCTCACTCTCTCCAGAATATAGTGAATGTAAGGCATTGTAGGCGTTATAGAGATGACTGATGGGAGGGTTTAGTGATGTAATATAGAGTATGTGTACACAGAATATACAGTATATACAGCTATGGGTGTGAGTGTAGAGGGGGTGTGAAGTGGGGCTGGAATTGGATGTCTTCCGCGTTTTAGTGCTTCGTTTGTACTCTTTTTATATACGGTTTGACTGTTTTTGTAGACAAGTGTTAGTAGAGGTCATTGTCCTCACAATTCAATGCAATACACATTGTGTTATACAATACATCAATACATTGTATGCATTACTACAGTATATGTGTTATATAATAGTATTGCAGATTCACTATTAATACCCCTTCACTGAAATACACGTTTAAATTACACTTAATTGTTGCCATTAATAGTGGACACCATTTGGCCACCAATTGATCCAATCTATGATTGAATGAACAAAACATTTCTAATATAAGTTGAATACAAATCATAAGACATATTGTCATTCAAAGCCAGAACTGATCGCAAGAATCCATAATTTCCGGTATATATTTGATGGACATATGGTTTGAATAGACCTGTGATTCACATATTAAGACACACTGTATATGAGTCGATGAAATATAGTCAGGTAAGTGTCCGTACATTACATGATTACCCCGATTATAGTGATTCCCTTATACCCAGAATATTGTACATATGCTGTATATTGTATGTCATGTGATAGTGACTGCCATTTGTAGTACAAGTAGTGGATGTACTGCTCAGTGATAGGACAGACATAAGACAATTGGTGATCGCGAAGACATTTCCTCATTATTGTTAACCATAACTATAGACACGATTTGTTTCGCATAAATAGTGAAATAATGGGAAATCATATGTGTTTGATATAAAACTAAAGCCAAACGTAATGTTATATGAATTCCTAAAAATAGTTTTGATTTAAAATATATGTTGAATGAGAAGAGAGTTTTGAAATAATATTTATATTTAACGGTGTCTTCGGTTATCAGGGATTCTATAATAAGATTAACTATTTTTAAATAAAATTAATTGGAGTCGTGTCCTGACGTGTGTATGTGTCAGCCCATCCTCTTCTTCACCAGTACTAGTGCTCCAGTAGTCCAGAGCCGGCCCTAAGCCTAAGCCCGAGCGCACTGTAAGCCTAACCTTCATTCATAGCATTCAGAGAGTGGTAATGAACTGAACTATGGATTCAAATGCAATGCAAAGTGAATGGAAAGCAAAGAATTATTTTTGAATCCGAGTTGTATTTTCTGTTTTCATATAAAACCTGCAAAACAGGTATCAAACAAAATAACTCTGAAATTAGGACTTTATATTTGCCTTCACTTTATATAATGTGAGGGAGAGTTAGACTGAGAGACAGTGAACTTGTTGTGAGCCAACACTTGCACAACACTCCACTCACTCATACATACTTACAGTTATACCATAGCTATCCATACCTATCCATACCATTCAAACTCCAATTCTGTCCCATTTCTCTACATCTGTGTGTTTTCCTGTTTTCATACAATGATTGGCTTCCAGTGTTCAGCGACTATAAGCCAGCCCTGTATCGGCCGAACATTGTTCCCGTCGGCGCCGACACACCAGCCCTCCAATGGCTTTCACACCCGACCCGCCATTCCGTCGTCCAATTTAGTCGAGTACTTCCCCGTCAACGGAGATGGACTGCGGCTGAGTTGGGCCCACGCGGCCAACACCAGATCCAAACTCACACAAGCTCTCAGAGGTATTCTTACATTTATTCCTTTTATTCCTATTATTCCTTTGGTTACAGAATATTATGCTTTTATTTATTAAAATTCTTGAATCAAACTTGTGTTCAGGCGATGAACTCATGATTGAAGCCGATGTGAGTCTGGCCGAGACGACCCGTTATCCGGTGCCGATTATGGCTCACCCGCCTCTCAACATGAGTGACATGACTTTGGAGGACTGGTTGGTAGAAGTGGTTCGATCTAATTCTGGCAAAGGAATCAAATTGGACTTTAAGACCACCCGAGTTGTGGAGCCGGCCTTTCGAGTGCTCGCCCGACACGTCGACTATATTAAAGGGCCCATCATTTTGAACGCCGATATATTGCCAGGTCTTTGACTTATGACCGAAATATTTAATTCCTAACATTAAGTTTGTACGCAATTGTTAATAATAGGTCCCAATAAGCCGACCACCAGTCCAGTCGATATCTGGACTTTTCTGATTTTGTGCAAAACTCGATTCCCGAAAGCAATCATTTCGATCGGTTGGACAACACTTGTGGACGAGATGTCCGTAAAGACCGGTTACACTCGAGATATGGTGGACCACATGGCCTCTCTCGTCAAGGAATACAATTTATCCCAACCGTTGACTTTCGCTGTGAACGCATCGCTTCTGAAATATTCAATTTGCGAACTCCAAAGACTGCTCTTTCAGGTCTCTATCATAGCATTCAATTCATTGTCGGTATAGTTGTACTAAAAGAACTGATCCCTTGGTTTAGGTGCCGAATAGCACATTGACTGTGTGGGCACATCCGCACGAGTTTGAGTCTAACCTGACTTTACACGACTTGATGCTAATTCGCAAATCATTTTCTATGAGTTCCGTCTTTTACGACATGCCATCAGATATATTGAATCAGTTGAGAGTCGAGATCTACAACAACTGAATGTTCACCACTGAAGCCATCATTTAATGCGAAATCGATGTGCGTTTCTCTCACTTGGCTTTCGACTCATTCATAAATAAATAGAGTTTAATATTAATTATATTATATATTATGTGCGAAATAATGCATTATTTTAATTGCATTTAATATTATTTTGATGGTTGTGTTCAATAGGAATACTATAGACCAGAATATATATATAAGAATGAGAGTGTATGAGGGAGAGAGAGAGAGAGAGAGAGGGGGGAGAGTAGCGAATTCCGCATAACAGTGAGATATGGCTGTAATAAGTTTCCAATTGTGATATAAAAGAGTTATAACGGTATTCGCTATTTGTGTGAATGAATGTATGTTTTAGTTATATATTCGCTTAAATCGAGGCTAAAGAAAATGCAAATATATTTTGTTGAACACGTATTGACCATAAGAAATGATACAATAATTACTAGTCGTATAATTATTAATATATAATTTTGCACCAATTTTTTTTAGTCATTAGTGATTTATTATTTGTTAGATATTACCCCACAAATAGCGCAACAATTTGTCTATTAATATTTTACAGTGTTTATAAATGTTTGAATAATTAATACCATTTATTAGACAATTTTGATTTACTTGCTTTTTTAAATAAATAAATATATGTTAACCAGAATTCCCGGTGAGAATGACTTTATAATTGCAACAGTTGTGTGCCTTTTGCTAACTTTTTACTATTATATAACACTATGTCTGAGGTGTTGGGCTTTTGATTTACTCCCAAACTCTTTGTATTCAATGTCAAGAATTAATTTTGAAATTTTTTTCTTCATTTATTGCTAACGTTTTATTTTCTAATTTTACACTTTTCACTGCAATTCTTTGTAAAGACATTGATAGCACCTATATTTGGATTTAATATTTGTTTCATACTTTTAATTCAATTATATTATAAATATAAATATCATACGAAATACACATTTACTTTTATTGATGTTTT